AGGCTATGCGTACAAATAATTAATTGTTTATATTGAATATTTCTTATAAAATTGGGATGTGAAGAGATTTTATTTTCTTCTGATTATCAAGGAAAGATGAATATTTTAGATTTACGCAACATTTAATTCAAGTCAACGGAGTTGAGATGTTTATTTCATGATATTTGTACACACACACACGCACACAAAAAAACAAACAAACAAAAAAAAAACAAAAAAAAAAAAACTTTTGATTATATTTATCTATGCAGTCAAACCAAAGTAAACGATCCGCGGTACGATTAAAAATATTTTATTAAAAAAGTGAAAAATAAGATTTAAAAAATATTTATTGAGGAAAATTACTGTTGAACTCCCCACTTCAATTTGCCGCTAAAACGGAAGATTTTGTGGGCGTATTTTTTGTTTTGTATTGTTTTTGTTTGTTTGTTTGTTTTTTTTTTGTTTTTTTTTTTTGGTTAAATTTGGTGATTGAAACAATCACATACTCACATTCGATATGAAGTTAAAAAATGTGACCATGTTGGCCAATTCTAAAATGTTTTCCCATTGATGAAAGTTTTTTTTTAATATGCCGCTTTGCCCCCCCCCCACCCCGTCCCGGCTTTTTGCTTGCGATTTCTAGGCTCTTAAATAATGATACTATATATATGAAATAACTTATTTTCTTATTAATATAAAATTAAATTTTATAAGATGAAAATATAGGGGAAACGGCTTTTATAGTTGACAGGTTTAAAAAAAAATTGGATAAAGCCGAGACTGTGCACATTTAAATATTTTCTGCATTTAGGTACGTGCAAGTATATTTTCGCCAATGATAGAATTGAACTCTTTAATTCACAAGAGAATTAAAAAAACTTTAGTTGGAAATAAGATATTTAATAAAGATAAGCTGTTTACTCTCAGTTGTTGCATAATGCATGCACAAATACTTGTTTTTTTAATACCGAGTATCAAGAAATCAAACAGATGTTATACATGATTGTAATCTTCATGTACGTAAAAGACATTAGTATTTTAAATAAATTGTATAAAAATTTGAATCCATGGATAAAATAATTTTAAAACAGTTGACTAACTGAACAGAAATAAAAGACAAGCATATTTTTTCTGATACATTAAATGCAGAATATTTCTAGTTTTACGGTAAAAACCGATCCCGATTGAAATAAAACCGATCCCGATTGAAAATAATGCAAAATGTGTAAAGTTATAAAACTAAAGACAACTGCCACCCATAAGACATGTACAAAAATAAATCAAGTAATTTTTTGGCCATATTACAACAAAAGAGCCAAATTTAACATTACAATTATAGTATTTCCTTCTTTATATAATTCCGGTCGGGATCGGTTTAATTGTGAAAAATTGTAAAACATAGGTAAATTTGACTCCTTTTAATTCTCTCAATATAAGGGTGCCCACTGATTTTATTGAGTGACTCAATAGTTTGTACTTTGTATTCATAATAACATGAGAAAAAAAATCTGTCATTGAAATGTATTGGTTTTTATAACGTAATGAAAATTGGGTAATGAATTCAAAAGTTACTTCCTAAACTCAATTTTGGACCACATATTTTTTTCTAAAGAAATATAAATTGGAGTCTTATTCATTACTAAAATTAAAGATAAGAGTCTATGGTATAAATAATATTGATAGACACATCCAGGTTTTGCGTATCTGGTACATATAAAACAAAATAAAAACGTAGTAATTTTTTTTACCCCCATGTTGACCTTTTTGCACTTAAAATTGAACAATTAACAAAAATAGGACTAGTGGAGCACTAAAATTTTTTTTGATGTTGTCATGTGTAAACACTTGCTTTAATAAGTCTACATGCAAAAAATAATAAAAATCCATGACATGCGATGTGCCACCCATTGCCTGATTTTCAGTGGACTACCTCTTAAACGGTTGAGTACTGCTGAACGCTGCTTGTATTTCATCGTAAGTGTACTCGGGTTAATCTCGTAGTAATTTCGAATTTAGGCATATCAATAGTCATTAAAATAACGTATTTCATTTCCAAGTTATGTTTTTTTTTCTAGATCTATGGGGGTTACTATATTACGTTTAGCTGTTTAGCTTCAATATGTCTGTATTATATACGTGGACGCAAAGAATTTAACAGTGAAAAATTTTATTTCGTAAGAGCATGCAGTATAAAAACACATAAGGTGAAAACTTAATTATTCACACCTTTGTATATCAACTGGTCAATCAGGCATAATTACTGTCACCAACCGTAACGACAGCCGCCAGGAAGTGCTTCAATATAACCGTATTGAAAACAACTCATTATCACCTGTGGGGACCGATCAGTGGCTTCAATATAAGCAAAATTTCAACATGTTCAATATATCCGATTTCAATATAACCGTTATTTTAATGCAAAGAATATGAAAGGCAAAAACTGGGGATTTATTTCTATTTCAAAATAAGCGGAATTTCAAAATTAGCGAGTTCAATATAAGTGGAGTAAGCTGTAGTTAGTTTTGAAATTTTGTTATGTCAAGATGTTTTGAGACAGAAATAGATGAAGCAGAATTTGACATGAATGGCAAATAAACTTTGTTTAAAATTATATCTTATTTTTGCTTTCAGATGCATATGACTGTGTGGCCACAGTATTTTTCTTGGACACAGCACATAATGTTATAGCCTACATAGAGACGATATATGATATACTCAAACCTGGAGGCTACTGGGTCAATCTAGGTAATATTACAAAATTTCACAAGATCTAATTAATGTATATAAATGTTGTAGGATCTAGGTAAATGTAATAAAATCTAGGATCTAGATATTGTAATAATATGTCATACGATCTAAGTAAATGTAATAATATCTAGGATCTAGGGGTATTATGATATTTCTTAGGATCTTGGTAAACGTAATAAAATCTAGGATCTAGGTATTGTAATAATATGTCATAGGATCTAAGTAAATGTAATAAAACCTAGGATCTAGGCATCGTAATAATATATCATAGGATCTAGGTAATATAATAAGTCAGATTAATTAAAAAATTAGGTAGTGATAAAGTGTGCCACTGAATGATATTAAATCAGCATTTAATAAATTTTTGTAGGTCCCTTGCTTTATCACTATGCTGATATTGAAAATGAGACGTCCATTGAACTGAGCTTTGAGGAAGTGAAGAAAGTTATCAAAAAGATTGGATTTGTTATTCAGGTAAGTGTCCGCAGTCTTCTATGAAAAGAAAAACCAGATACTTTTAAATTGCTTGACCTTAGAGTTTGCATGGACTTATGGTTCAACTATTTGCCTGCCATACATGAATGTTAACATGCCCCATCCCTTATTTCTAAAATCAGAGGGACATTTTTTATTTGAGATTGTATAAATATAATGTTTGTGCAAAAGAAATTCAGCGTTCCCAAAAATTTATTGCAGAACTGTAGTATTGAGATTTTATAATTTAATCTTTGACCATATCTATATGGTCGAAAACTAAAATAATGTTTCAGTTACCCAAGAAAAACTGCCTCTCCTTTGCAAAAAGAGGTTTTTAAACTTTATTTTCAAATAACTGAGAAATATGTGACAAGTCCATTATTAAAACCAATGACCTTTTATTCCCATTGTCATTTTTTCTGATATTTTTACAGAAAGAAGAAACGGACATCTCCACAACATACACACAGAACCCTGCCTCCATGCTTCAGTACAGATATAGCAGTGTCATGTTTGTTTGTCAAAAACCAAAGGAACCAAAAACGACCTGACATTCCATCTCCTTTAGTATTATCCATGGTTACAAACAAACATCTCCATGGTTACAGCAAGCTATCTCCATGGATACACACTTCTCCATGGTGACAGCAAAATATCTCCATAGTTATAAATAGACTTTTCCATAGTAATAGCAACCTATCTCCATGGTAACAAACAGATACCCCCATGATTACAGCAAGGTATTTCCATGGTTACAGACAGACTGAATTATGGGATTTTGTTTGACTTTGGAGTGTCTTTGAATTGCAGTCAAATGTATTAACTGGAGTGAAAGGGAGATAATTTTGTATGAATATCAATATTGTGTTTTTTTTCTTAAAAATTTTTGTAGATGAAGCTAGGATATACTAATACTTCCCACATGTTGAAAAGCTAGATTTTTCCTTGAACAGGGAAGAAAACTTGTGAAATGGCATTCTTTAAAATCAATATATTTAAATAAATTCCTTACATGAATTTAGAATATTATATTGACTTTTGATGTATTTTACCAATGATTTTGCAAGTAAATAATTTAAAGATTTTTATTGTTCTTCTTCTTACAGGTATGATGAAACATACTTTATCATTATAATGTGGTTTTCCTAATAAGAAACTAAATTGTTTGTACAATATGATAAATATTTATAGCAAGTTAAAATGAAAGAGCAATCTGACTGAATTTCAGATCCTATGATCTACTCACTTAAAGCGCTACACAAGGATCTGAAGAAAACTTGTAAATGTACTGTTCAATCTGATTAAGCCAAACATTTGTCTACATAAAATGTCACATCCTCGTTTTAGAGTGCAGAGATGTTTGCAACTTTTCTTTCCATTTCTCCAACAAGCATTTAAGCTATAATAGGTCAACAAAATATACATACAGTTGAACTTGTATAGCTTGAATGCTGATATTTCAAATGTCATGGATTTATCAATTTGAAAGTGATTTGAAATTCATCACTTTTTAAAAAAGAAATTATACCCCTGATGCCAAAAATACACTGCATTTAAATGCAGTGTAACGGAGAGAAAACCCGTGGGTTCCGACGATGTTTTAAAACTGAAAAAAAAAATCCTTAGGAAATAAAATATTAAAAAATTTGATATCAAATATTACAGATATTTTGCTTCTATATATGCTCTTCTTGTTTTTGATTGTAATAAATTACAAACATGATAGATATCGTTTTTTTGTTTGAATTATTGATTTAATTGATCTTCAATCTTAGCAATGACAATTTGGTATATATATTACACAACACTTGTCATATGCTTTATATAAATAATATAATCATACACAATAAATTACTTTTTTTTCAAGTTCAAGTTCTTTAAATATCATTACCAAACAGTCACATATCAATTTCCATGTGAAGTCATAGTGCTATTGTTCACATTATTTTTTAATGGTTGGCTTTGGGGGCTTGAAAATTCCGACCTTCCGAAGCTTGCGAACGATAATGGGGGCGCAGGTCAAAGTGATCCCAATACGTGGAACAGCAAACATCTTGTGCACTGCATAAGCAATAACAAACGTACTGGCCCCTGCTGCAAGGGCCGATTCCAAAATCTCCTCAGAGACACCCAATTTTCTGAGAATTCCTACGACATCAACGCCGACAGACACCAAGGAATAGAAGAATCCCAGGGACATCAACGCAATGCATATGTGGAAAATGATGACCACTGGGCCATATTCTTTCACCGCCCTCTTAAGTTTCTGTCGTTGTGTAAGTTGAGCTTCGACATTTTCAGAGTTCGTGCCGGTCTCCTGGTTTGAGACATCTTCTTTAGTTAAGTTCTCTGAACTCTTCTCTTCGGTTAATTTTTTCTCAGACAACAAGAGCACTGAAGTTGTAAATTGTCTTCTGTTAATGTTGACAGTATGGGTATTTATTCTATCCAAGAATGATGAAAATGGATTGTTGCAGGCAACAGTGTCTTGGGATGTGTAAGCACCATTTATGACATGTAAACATCTTACACTATGAAGTGTGCAAGGTCTAATGTTTAGAATGGGACTTTGATTAAATAGTCGAGATGCACAGCCCTTCAACGATGCACTGGCGGTACTTGTCCCAAAATTTGACCCACATACCCGCGCAGTCATTTGTATTTTCTGACTGAAAATGTCATGGTGACTCCCTTTTCTCAAGACAGTATTTAAAAGGCAGATATTTCTCCTAAACTGTTGCATATTTATTGATTTTCACCAACTTCTCTGAAGCTTCTGTTTCCATATGTCTTAATTTTTTCATCATGGTTAATAAAGCTCAACAAACCTTATAGAGTTTTTCTCGTATCCTTAAGCGTTTGAAGGATCCAAATATTTATATAAAATTTTCTGAACCGTATGATAGGACAGGATAAATCCGATTTACAATCTACTGTGTGGAACATTTCAGTGAAGGAAATAAACTGCTAAATAAAATGAGATGAGAGATATGTAAGGGATAGCACTTTCAATTTTACAAGATAAAATTTGTGTGAAAATCTCTATACTAAATTTTCATGCTTCTTAAATTAATGGTTTTTTTTTTCACAAATTATATTTATTACACTTATAAAATTCATCATGTGTACAATATGTAAAAAAATCGTCAAAACCCAAAAAAATAGCTCCACAAAAAATACCCCACCATACAAATATAAGAAAGACCTGGTAATCTACTGAATGAAATTTCTTTGTCACATACACGATAGTGCCATTGTGCACCTCCTACATGTATCTTATTTAGGGTCTCTCATAGCAAAACTTGAACTTTGCCGTTATAATACAGTGGAGTCGCCAATTCCGGGTCGTCTCCTTTTCCGGGTCACTCGCGTGTATTTTATGCCTAGTGTTAAAATTTAAGCGCAAAAAACTTAATAAATACGCTGGTCATGAAGAACTGGTCTTTCTGTATGTAATTAATAACAAAATTTTGAATATCAACTTTAAGAGAGCATCTGCGACAATCGAAATTCTGAAACTTGGATGTTTCTGCTGCGGTGACGGGCTACTTTCGTTTTTGTTTTTGTTCGTTTTTGTTCGCTGCAGAAAAACTGATATAAAAGTTCTAGTTAAATAATAAGAGCTCGAAAGTATGGCAAATGCATTTAGTTTTAACTCAGAAATCAATCATAATGATTACTGCTCAAATAAAATTATAATGATTATTAAATCAAACTGTAGTAGTTTCTCCAATTACGGGTCACGCAATCTCGTGGCACGAACATCTCAAAATTTTATGTACAAAACCAATCGACAACCATGTATTTACCTTGATTATCAAAAGTATTCTAATTAGAATTTTTTTTTCTAAAAATTAAAATCGAGTTAACCCTTCAAATGCATCTTTTAAATAAATGAATTTAAATATATTATTTTAAATCCTAATACATTTTTTACATTCTGCATACTGCAATTTGTTTTGTTGTAAAAATAATTTAAACATATTTCTGTGATTGTTTTACTTTTTTTCCAAGCTGCATGAATTGTTTTATGTTTCAACATCATAAACATCGTGTTCCGAAACGTTCCATGAATATTACACGACCGTGAAGTCACATGACCCGGAAATGGAGAAAATGATTCGTAACTGGGGAAGCTAGGCCTTGCTGAAATACCCCTGTAAATATTGTTCCCGTGTAGCTACTTTGAAAACGAAAAGGTGTTTGGATGACTCACTATTTGTTCTTTCAATACATATATTGCATAAAATATAAATTGAAGAGCTTTGCAAAATATCAACGAAACACCCTGACGTGACCCGGAATTGTCGACTTCACCGTATCGGGGAGGCGGCCGGGGTATCATCTGGAAGCTCAGTGCTCATAGTACCTCTAGATATAGCTAAAATATTTTATTCCGATTGCTATAGTAACGTCTTACGTACAGTTCATATGTTAGTCGCGGCAGAGTTAACATGGGAGGTGGGAGTTGTTCTCTGCCGATTAGGCCTGACCAGTAGAATGGCACCCCCCAAAAAAAGGTCATTGGCAGGAAAGGCATCCTGCCATGCAGATAAAGAAGAAAAGGGACAGAAAGAGCTGGTAACCTACTCCATATACATGACTTGTGTGTGTGCAATGATTATTCACCATTGTGGACCCATCCTTCCCACCTGTGTACCGAATAAACAGACAAGATTTAAGACAATCTTTTGCCATACTATAGTATACGATTAACTGTATTTAATTTTACACCGTATTGAGAAAATAACTTTTAGACTATTTCATAAAAGATTCTTTTTTGGCATTGCTTATAAATATTGAATATATTACATATACAGATCGACTGTGGATGGTGTACGTGGTGGCACTTCTACAAAACTAGACTCATCAAGTGACAAACGCTTGGTTAGATTAGTTCTAACATATTTGTGGAATTCCTGGTTTGAGACAGCAATGAGAACATTTTATGCTGGGACATCCAGAACTGCATCTACGTACATGTACAACATGTACAATGCAATATTTCAGACCACACTATAAGCAGCAGTCTTCTTAGAGAATTAAGAACAGAAAACAACTTCAATTCAATATTAACATTTTTTAATCATAAAATCTTGAACACTAAAACATTATCTGGAGTATTTATGAACAGTTGTTTTGTTTTTGAGTTATGAGTCACATAATCAGGGCTCCAAATCTCGTCCTCATCTGTCAAAATAACTCGAGACTCTCGTCCATCGGAACTCACTTGCAGTATCAGATGCTTCCGAAAGTCAGCAACGAGAAGGTAACTACAGAAGGAAATTAATGCCTTTGGTTCATCTCCGATCTCATGATGCCAGAGAGCCTGACCGTCAAATGTAAAACTTACAATGCGGCCATTTTCAGCGTCAGAAATATAAACAACATCCAATGAAGGATCAATTTGCACGAATTTGGACATTTTTATGAGTGCTCCGAACACTCTGCAGCTCTTGATGACGTAGCGCTGTTTCCCTCGCTCATTTAGAATTCTAACATTTCCGCTGGTTTTATGAATATCACAAGTTACAGCGTAGTTCTTATGAGCGAAACAGATTCCAAATCCCTGACCATTGAGCTTAAAACATCGCTGTTGTAACACAAATCTAGTTTTATCCACGAAATAAAAGTGAACCTCATTTCCACATGTGATAGCCACCTCATTACTGTAAACGGAACTGATTCCGATACATTCCTCAGAAACGGATTTCGAGCAAACAAATTCCTGGTTTTCGTCAAATAACTTTAGCGCATTATTGTTCAGGTCTAAAATTAGCACACATCCGTCAGACAGTGTTGTAATTCCGTGGATCCAGCAAGGTATGACGTCATCTGGTGATGACGCCGACCAATGCTTTTCAAATAGGACTGTAACTTGTGGGAGTGTTGATTTCTCTTCCTCGGCACGGTTTCCATTTTGATCTATAAAAGCAATGTCTGTCATTGTGGCTTGTTTTTCCAGTTTAATTATACTGTCACTTCTTTCTATTTCCGGTGTAATTGCGTCATGATGTACATGAACGTCATCTTCTGGAGACGTTGATCTCGTCATGGCGTCATGATCACTGTTCTTACGATATTTTTGGCTTACACGGTCTATACCTGGCGTTATTGCATGACTTGGTGTCACGGAAAGTAAACGTATCTCTTTAGCAACGCTTTCACACCTTGACTCGAAATCTTTACGCACAAACTCCGTTCTGGAAGCGGAAGTGAAATTATCTGACATATCAACACCAGAATCATCCAAGTTGTTGACTTGCTCCTCGGGAATTTTTTCCATAACGCGTGATTTAGACCTATCCGGCTCCTTGATCTCGTTTTCATTTCTATTTGCCTCTTTTTCAGTCTCATTAGAATTTGAGCTGTGTTCGGTGGGGAATTCCTTCACAGCATTTACCTTTATCTGGATAGCTCGAGGGGTTCTTGGTGATGATTTACTGTTTCCCATACTCTACCTCAAAAAAGATGCTTGTTCTGAAAATAACGACTCCTCTTTTTTATTTCAGGTCATCTGATTTAACACAGTCCGAAATTGGAGCCAAAAAATAGGTTCCCAATTTTCCGTGTTGATTCTATAATTTTGAATCACACCGACCTTTAGAACTTTAAACAAATTTCGATTTTATATCCATGAAAATTATGAAAGACTGAAAAACGTCACTTCCACAAAATTATGCACAGTTCAGAAGAAAAAGCTGCATGTTAACGGCAACAAATAATTAAATGCAGTTGAAATGTTAACTAGATTGCATTGTGCAACGTGTTTCAGTAATGATTTCTTGTTCTAATTGGACAACAGCCACCGCAGATTAACACACTGATTAATACGTTTGGATTTTAAACTTTTGATCCACTCTCCCGACTTGACTTTATGAATCACATATGTACATATATTTGTACGTAATCCCTTGGTCTTTAAATAATACATGTATATTAAATTGCCAAGTGTGTCTTAATTTTAGGAAGAAAATCATAATTGTGACACGATTATAAAGCTTTTGTTATGAAACTGAATACTTATAAATTTTTGATCTTTTTGTCCCAAGCTGAAGGTGGGGTATTAATTTCGGCCTGTCTGCCCGTCCGTCTGTACGTCTAGCAGTCTGCCCGTCCGTCAGTCTGTACGTCTAGCTATCTGCCCGTCCGTCAGTCTGTACGTCTAGCTATCTGTCTGTCCGTCTAGCTGTTCCTCTAGCTATCTGCCCGTCCGTCAGTCTTTACGTCTAGCTTTCTGCCCGTCCGTCAGTCTGTACGTATAGCTGTCTGTCTGTACGTCTAGCTGTCTGTCTGTCCGTCAGTCTCTACGTCTAGCTTTCTGCCCGTCCGTCAGTCTGTACGTCTAGCTGTCTGTCTGTCCGTCTAGCTGTACTCTAGCTATCTGCCCGTCCGTCAGTCTGTACGTCTAGCTATCTGTCTGTCCGTCTAGCTGTACCTCTAGCTATCTGCCCGTCCGTCAGTCTGTACGTCTAGCTTTCCGTCTGTCCGTCTGTCTGTACGTCTAGCTGTCTGTCTGTCTAGCTGTCTGTACGTCTAGCTGTCTGTCCGTCCGTCTGTCTGTACGTCTAGCTATCTGTCTGTACGTCTGTCTGTACGTCTAGCTATCTGTCTGTCCGTCTAGCTGTACCTCTAGCTGTCTGCCCGTCCGTCTAGCTGTACGTCTAGCTTTCAGGTCTGTCCGTCTGTCTGTACGTCTAGCTGTCTGTCTGTACGTCTGTCTGTACGTCTAGCTGTCTGTCTGTACGTCTAGCTGTCTGTCCGTCCGTCTGTCTGTA